GATCTGTTCTGTTGTCCTACGCCGTCGCTACGAGAAGGCGCTACAGGGAGCACTGCGATGTCGCTGCGGGCGACACTAGTAGCCCACTGTAAGAAGGCGCCACCGGAAGATGACGCCCCTGTAGTGGCGCCGCTGTGAGCGAACGAACTCTGTAGTAGCAGCCTATTATTACAGGCTGCGACACCTACTACTACAAGCTGCTTCATCTGTTTGTTCACTACTACAACGGTGTCGCAAGGCAACTTCAAACTCACCGTCGCAGAAAAACATGGGGAGTGAGAGATCTGGTGTTTTTTGGTCGCCTGCATCAGAGAAAATTTAGGGAGGGAGCTTGGGTTTTTTGGAGTGATTTTGTTCTCCTCCGATCTAACCTGATTAGCCGGAGCCGCTTAGTGGAGAAATCTGGAGGTTGTGGCGGTGGCGGGTTTGGGGTAGGGGGTTGTGATTGTGTTGTGGTTTGGTGTGGTGATGTCTGTGTTGTTGGATCTAGGTGGTGGTGTGGTGATTTGTTGGCAATGACTTTGTTACTGGTAGTGTTGTAGCGGTGGTGGCGGGTGAGGGTGGTGGATCTGGTTGCGGGTTTAGGATTTTTTTTTGTTGGTTTTGGTGGTGACGACATTGGGATTTTTTTGCTGGATCTGGTGGTAACGACTTTGTTGGTGGTGGTGCTATTGTGGTGGCGCTGACGCTTATGGGGTTGGCGATGGATCTGGTGCGAGGACGGGTGGTGGTTGTTGGTGGCCAGAGATCTGGTGGTGATGATTTTTGTTGGCGATGTCAGTATCAATTGGCAACGGTGGTGTTGTGAAGGTGGCGAGGGTGGGATATTGTATGTGACCAACTATTTGGTTGATGTATGACCAAATTTGAAAATGTGTGACCGATACATAAAATGTGACCTATAATTTTTTTGATCTGTGACCGTGAAAAAATCTGTGACCAACTAATTTAGAAATCTGTGACCAACGAATTAAATGTGATCTATAAAATTTTTGAACTATCACCATAAAATTTAATTAGTCACATTATTTTTCAGTCACAAATAATATTTTTTATACGTCACAGATTATTTTATGGTCACAGTTCAAAAATTTTATAGATCTCATTTAATTCGTTGGTCACGGATTTCTAAATTAGTTGGTCACAGATTTTTTCACGGTCACAAATTAAAAATTTTATAGGTCACAGTTTATTTCGTTTGTCACAGATCAAAAAAATTATAGGTCACATTTTATGTATCGATCACACATTTTCAAATTTGGTCACACATCAACCAAATAGTTGGTCACATACAATATTTCACCCTCGCCACCGTCACAACACCACAGTTGCCAATTGATACTGACATCGCCAACAAAAATCATCACCACCAGATCTCTGGCCACCAACAACCACCACCCGTCCTCGCACCAGATCCATCGCCAACCCCATAAGCGTCAGCGCCACCACAATAGCACCACCACCAACAAAGTCGTTACCACCAGATCCAGCAAAAAAATCCCAATGTCGTCACCACCAAAACCAACAAAAAAAAATCCTAAACCCGCAACCAGATCCACCACCCTCACCCGCCACCACCGCCACAACACTACCAGTAACAAAGTCATTGCCAACAAATCACCACACCACCACCTAGATCCAACAACACAGACATCACCACACCAAACCACAACACAATCACAACCCCCTACCCCAAACCCGCCACCGCCACACCCTCCAGATTTCTCCACTAAGCGGCTCCGGCTAATCAGGTTAGATCGGAGGAGAACAAAATCACTCCAAAAAACCCAAGCTCCCTCCCTAAATTTTCTCTGATGCAGGCGATCAAAAAACACCAGATCTCTCACTCCCCATGTTTTTTCTGCGACGGTGAGTTTGAAGTTGCCTTACGACACCGTTGTAGTAGTGAACAAACAGATGAAGCAGCTTGTAGTAGTAGGTGTCGCAGCCTGTAATAATGGGCTGCTACTACAGAGTTCGTTCGCTCACAGCGGCGCCACTACAGGGGCGTCATCTTCCGGTGGCGCCTTCTTACAGTGGGCTACTAGTGTCGCCCGCAGCGACATCGCAGTGCTCCCTGTAGCGCCTTCTCGTAGCGACGGCGTAGGACAACAGAACAGATCGCCGACTGTGACTGCGCAGCACAGCAATGGCGACGCCACTGCTCGATACTCACATCAAGGGGGGCCTCATAGTGGCGTTCAAAGGTATCTCCGGTGACGGGAGCTCCTCAATGGCGACGCCGATCTGAGGGAGAGGGTAGAGAGAGTGTAAGAGTGAGAGAGAGTGAGACGAGGTGTGAAGAGGAGAAAATGGATAGGATGAAAGAAAAATGATTTAGGGTTTCTACGTGATTAGTTAGGTGGGTTTAATATTTAATTTTTAATTCAATACCTGATTTTTGATTAAAAAACTTTCTCACCTGATTTTTGTACTTTAAAGTTGAAATAACTGGAATTATTTAATTTCCACTTTAATCAAGGTTTTGGATTTTGGGTCATTACTAATGAGCTTAATGTTATAAAAAAGGGCCTAAAACAATTTAAGCCCACTTCTTCAAAAAAAAAAGCCCAAACCAACATCACTTCATATTCTACAGTTCCTCTACTATTAGACTGCCCCTGCACCATTTCGATCATCGGGTCTACTGATGAGGGATGTCGGTTCCAAAATACAAAGTTCTTGTAGAGCTAGCACGAGCGGCCGAGCTGACTCGCCAAATGCTGACTCCGTCCTTCTTGTAATGTCAACAAGATATTTAACAGCATTTTGAGTATGTTTAATAATAATAATAATAATAATAATAATAATAAGTTATACTCCAATTGATGACAAAAAAACTCCACAAACCCTATATTCGCTGGCCCCGCCCCCGAACATGGCTGAGATTACCCTCTTAATCGAGTATTCGGGGCAGGGGAAGGGACGGGAACGGGTAACCGGTGCTGTGCCCGTTTAATTTATTTTTATTTTTAGAATTCAATACTTTAATGCAAAATTTCACAAAATTTCATTAATTTTAATAGAAAATGCAACTAAAATTATTTGTCTCGATCTAATGAATGGGGACAATAAAATAAATTATAAAAAACTTAAAAAATAAAAAATAAACAGGGCAAGAAAATATACAAATAATCACACACACACAATACACTAATCCAAATCAGGAAATATAAATCAAACCCGCATCAAAATAAAATTCTGGGTAAATAAATAAAAATAAATAAATACAAGAAAAATTCACTAACCCAAATTGAAAAATTAATCAAGAAAAAAGTTTGCTTATGCTTTCACATAAATTTTTTTTCAAACTTTTTGTAATGATTACCGTGTTTTTTATTTTTGTTTTTGATTCTCATTTTCCTTTTTTTATTGATTAATAATTATGTTTGAATTTTTTTTAGTGTGTGCGTGTTTTTGTCATGGTAATAATTGGGGGACTTGACTGAAATATTATATGAAGTTGGATAATCATGTTGAATCAAAATCAATTGGAATGACAATGATGACATTAAGCCCTTGTTTGCCCCCCATTATATCACATTCCATTACATTAATTTTTTCTCTCTCTTCATCTCAACCATCCATTTATCAAATAAAATAATAATACACACAAATCTAAAACTTTTCAACCACACATCTCCCATCAATCACTATTCTAAAAATTTTCAACCCCCTAAAAATCTACAATAATGGGGGCCAAACAGGGGCTAAAGGAGTTGAAGGGGGCAAACAGGGGCTAAATATAAAGTACAATGGTCATGATGAATCAAAATCAAGTTAGATGACAATGATGACACTAAAGATAAAGTACAGTGACCATTACCCCAAATAAAACCTCCGTTTAATAGAAATCTTGACTTCGCCACTGTACAAAATAGTACCTCGAGTTCTATCAAGCTACACTTCTACAACTAACTAAGCCTTAGTTTGACAACATTCCTTCAAACCTTTTTTTTAATGCTTATTTTCAACAGCACATTCTTACAATAAAATATTCTTTACGTAACCCAATATTTTTGCTGCTTATTAACCATACATTCTTAAAAAAATTACTATTAAAAAAACTCATTCTTCACAAAAAATAACTGTCAAACAGGGTAGATTAAATAAGTGAGATTTTCGAACATTGCATCATTGGAAGTGCAGGAAAACAAATAATTCACTAAACAAGTGCGTTCTGCACTGGTTGATTGGGTTAAATTAGTTGAAGGGTCAACTTAACAAGATTTGCAAGAACTTTGAAACATTAACCGTTGCTAGACAAAATTGGAAAAAACCTTAGCCGGTGACAGGTTTACAACTAACTAAAATTCATCCATTAAATTCACAATTGGAAGCGCATGAAAACAAATGCGTTCTGCGTTCGTTAATTTCTTGTTATTATCACATATTGCCAAATGAGAAATGATATTCATCCCCAGTGGGGATGCATCCCCAATTTATGTGGCGTTAATGTGACATTAAATAAGTCATTTAATTTCACATATCATTTAATCAATCATTTACATCCATATAGACTGGGATGCATCTCCACTGGGGATGAATATCATTTTTCTTGCCGAATACCCAAACCATAGAAGAAGTATTCTGAGAGAGAAATGAAGAAGAAACTGTAAAAAACACAACAATAAAACAATGAAAAAAAAAATATTTTTCAATTTAATATAAAGTTGCATACTTGCTGTGTTTCACGTGTATACGCTGACGATTTTGCAAATAAAAGAATAAATCAATATCAAGTTGCGATAGCCAAAGCAGTAAAGACAATTTATCCCAGTATTATAACATTTGAACAAATAACACCACAAAACTTGCCTATACAACATGACAAATTACATTAAAAAGTTCCAAAAATGGCATGTTATTGACAGAGTATAAATAAACAACTTGTGTAAAAAGACATCATGTGATTAAGTAAACCCAATTCGATACACAGGATTGACTGCCATATCATGATATTGCTATAACTGAAATTGCCCATCGCCCTAATAACATTATTAGGCAGCACTGATTGAAGAACTTAGCCCCTGAATCTGCATTAGATATGAATAAACATACATTAATTGACACAGCAAGCACATTTTTTGGTACCTCACTAAATAAGCTGTAAAGAAAAGATTGCTGGTTGTACTCAAAATTAAAGACCAGAATACCTTATTTACGAGTAAGTTTACTTGTTCTCTGTACATCTCCTTCAAATCAACAATATCCGCACGCAGTTCTTCCAACTATGTACAACCAATCCACTTTAACATGTCAGAACTGGGTTGATGCTATTAAAATTTTCTGCTTTACATTCCATAATGTACTGATACTAACAGACAGTGAACTTAAGGAGTAAAAATGATTTGAGAATATACTTTACACAATGATTAGTTATACAAGAAAAATTCAGGGATTTGTTCCCTAGACCAATTACATAGATATTTTCCCAATAATTTCTTGCTGTGCAGATAAACATAAGTGGGTCGTCAGTTTTAAAAAGAATTCATGACTGAGTGATGTCCATGAAACTTAGGGCCAGATTTTGAGAAGCCAAAAGCAGCTTGAGACTAAGAAGTTGCTTTTGGGGTATGTTCGGATAATTTTCTGAAGAATCATGCTATATGTACATTAAGTCTTACATTATCCTTGACATTGTGCCACGGGGGGGCATCACATTGGACAGTTTTTTAAAATAACAAAATTTCCCGCCAACACTTTTTTTGAAAACAATGGAGTGTCAACAAGAATGTAAAACTTTTAATGTACATCTAGCATTGTTGTTTTCTGAAAGTACTTCTATTGATCTATTGGTTAGAAGTGCTTTTAGAGTAAGCTGAACCGAGGTGCCAAACAAGCCCTTACTTCCATGCTGGAATAAAAACTCACAGCAATAGCCAAAGGAAGCATATATATTCAAAAGGTTGATCAGCCATCAACATAAATAGCCTTTTCTACCAAGAGGGACTAACAGGATTCCCTTTAAGTGTCTTCTTCCACAAATTCCAATCATACTAATTCTGGTTTTACTGTCACTAAGCAAAAGCAAAACTTGTCAATATATCACAGCATATCATCAGACACAGCCATAAAGTAAACCTGGTATGTACATCAAAGCCAAAAGAGTCCCCCTCTACAAATGTAATACAATCACACCGATGATCAACCTTGTGGAAAATTATTTTCATAGTTCCTAAATTCTACAAATTTTGGAGGAATGTTCACCATTTTTAAAAATATAATAGAAAAATTTAACATCACCTCTTCATCACGTTCACCCATCAACTCCAATGCTGCTGAATGTCTCCTTCTTAGAGCTTCTAGCTCTGCCCTTAAGCCAGGCAGCATGGCAGATTCTGCTCGTAACTTCTCACACTACACCATAACGATCAACTCTCAGATAAATAATGCACGATAAACCAGTCAAACCTGCCACAAAATATGGCAGGGGAAGGGGGGAAGAATAAATATCTCTGTATCTCACTTGTGCAGTCATTTTGACCAACTCCTCAGCAAGAGAATTGCGAATGGATTCCATAGATGCCTGAAGTTGATAGCAAACTGTCAAACAAGTAGGCTTGGGAGTAAGGAAGGGGGGGTGGTATTTGCAGCACACTTTATTAATCACAATGACAGCTTATATTATGAGACTCTGCAGCATAGTCTAGATGTGTTGGGCACCATAAACATTGCCAGATAGTGCCTGAATGCAATTTGACAAAACCAATATATACTCCATACCAGTCGAGAGATGTAAGATGTAAGCTCCCCCTCCTTTTGACGAAGAGCAGCTTCAAAAGTGTTTGTTGTCATGCTCTTCATATAGTATGGGCTCATGGTACCCTCTGAAGTATTTCTACGTTCATGCAAATTGTCAGATGAGTCCAATGATGTTTGCAGAATATAGCTTTCTTCCATGCTGCTCAAGCTGCTCGCACTTGAAAGCTTACGAGACATATTCCCTGCAAAAAGGTGATTGTCATGTGCAATAAGTAAACTGAAAGTGTCTGCAAAATGAAACATTTACGTAACTATGAATAACCATTGTCAAATGTTGCAGATTTTTGCGTCGCTATTGGGCTTTGGTCAGACATGGCAGAATATTGAAGGCGAGTAGCCCTTTCTTGATCCAAACGAGCGGCTTTCTCCTGTTCTAGCTCCTGAAAATTATCATGAACCTATTCAGGATACTAATGTATGGCCAAAAATACACAGGAAATCAGAAATTCGTAGACCAAACATGAAATGAAAACGTACACACTTTTTAAATAAAATTGAAACCCATATTGCATGCAATCATTCATTTTAACCTATATCACAGTTTTCTTCACCGTCAGGTTAAAAAACATGGATTTGAAGAGCAGAAAAGCAAAAGCTCATCAAATAGGAAATCAGAAACACGGTGTTCCAACACGGAAGTCCTCCAGTTTAACCCCAGCTCTAAGTTTAACAGGTAAACTCATGTTACCTTAGCAATGAAATTGACAACCCCTGGAACAAATGAGGAAAAGAAACGCATGAATTCACATGCTTATACATGCATTGAAGGTTGCTTGTTATTGGTCTTTCTTCAGTTTTGGGGTCAAGGAATTCTCTGAAGTCGTCGAAACATATGCAAAAAATGCCTTTATGCTGGTTACATTGAGAACTGTGAGGGGAAGGGGAGAGGAGAAAATTAAATGGAATTGGGGTACAATACATAACGCAGGTAATGCCAATTTATTCCAAATAGAATGAGGGGAATAAGACAGATTCCAAACATCATTTTGATGGTCTAACGTTTTAGCTAAACAAGAATTATTGAGGGTCAAACTTCACAGTTGATTTCCTCTTCCCCACAGAATAAATTTTAAAAAACTAGCTTAGATCCAAGCTACTGAAAAATCTTCTTTCTCCTACAGCCAAGGATGTTTAGCAAAGACTTGCTACTATCCAGCCTATCATATTGATAGGCAATTGGCAAACAAAGCATGAAAAGGAGAGGTCTCAAAGAATTCCTAAGAAAAGTACATTTAAGAAGAGCTAAATATAAGGCGCAAAAATTAGTTTCTTTATGATATATCATGAAGGAACATATAATGACATACTACCTGCTGCAGAAGTTCCTGATGTGACAGTGCTTCTTGCAACTCCTCTTTGTGTTTCCTTCTTAGTTCCCTAATTTCTTCTTCAAGTTGTTTCACATGACCTTCGTGAGTGTCAGCTTCCTCCTTCAGAGCAAGATATTCTTGCCTATGTTCTGTTGCCTTCTGTCTCTCTTTTTCAACAGATCTTGTTAGCTGTGTCTGCTCAGCCCTAAGACACGATATCTGCAAAATGTCCCCCTATTAGCTAAATATCAAAATGAGCTCTACAGGTAGCACCAAGTAATAGAAAAAAACCTGAACTTCAAGAACATTTATTCGTGATAAATTTTGAGATAAACGCTCATTAATAGATCGTTCCTTTTCCTCTGCAGCTGCAGCTTTGGCCTCTGCTTCCTTTAGATTCATATAAAAATGGACTTAGAAGTCAAAACTCTAACATGATAAGAAGACAGAAAGTATTTTCTAGAAACCTGAAGCCGGGAATTGAGGGACCTTTCAACAGCCGCCCAAGCTTCTGCCCTTCTGGAAGCTGTCTCCTGCAATAGTGTTAGAGCAAATCAAGTCAGACTACAAGCCAAAAAATAAATAAATAAAATCACAGAACAACTTGATCCAATATACAGTGGAACCTGCATAGCTTCAATTTGCCTCAGAAGTGGCCTCGTAGACTCAGGAACTTGTGTTATTAACTCCTCACACCGACGCTCACTTGCCTAGCCACACATATTCCCATGTCAGATCACCAAAACGAAATGAATATAAATTTACAACATGCATTCAGAAGCCCATGCATGTACACAACAAAACACATCCAAACGCATGAATTGAAAAACATCTAGATCGAAAGAGCAGAACACCAACAGTAATGCATCAAAAGAAGCTGTACTCACTTGATATCGCTTTTGTAGATCTTCAATGTCTCTACGAAGCATATCTTCTCTAAAAACTGCCTGCACATAATGAGATCTTATTGTTTTTGGTAGACTAGATAGATGAGATCACCAACCACAATTTGTTCCAAGAAAAAACCTGCTGCTCTTGTCTGCTCAGAGTTTGCCTTAATTCTTCAAGTGCCTGAACTAGCATACTTTCACGATCCTCAGCCTCCCTAAGACGACTCTCCATTTCAGTTCTTGCTTCAGTGTTAGCCCTTGTCTCTGCTAATGCTTCAGCTTCCTTTGCTGCATTCAAAGCATCTGTGTAGTATTCCTTTTGAGTTGCAAGTTCAACTTGGTGTTTTTCTATAGTGTCTTGCAGCAATTTCTCAGTTGCTCCCTTGTCCCTTTTAATGCTTTCTACTTTGTTCTCTTCAACCTAGGAAGAAAACAGTACCATTATATGCTCAGTAATTCAAATTGTAATGCAGATCTGTTTACCTAACAATATGCTGGATGTGTGATACTATATAAGAAGACATCAAAATATAGAGTTACAAGTGGAGCCTAGCATATATTATCAAAATCAAGGTAAAAAGAAACAATAAAACAAGTCTAAATTAAATTAGATCACATATAAGATGCAATGCACGATCACTTCAAGAAGAGAATTTAACATTCAAATACTCTACAACTCAAGAGCTTGTTTGTGTGAGAATTACCTGTAGTTTGGTAAGCAATCCTTTCTTCTCTTCCTCAAGCTCTCTAATCTAGCTTTCAGAAGAAATTAAAGATAAAATAGATAAGAGGGAAGAAGTGTGTTAAAAATTAATAAAGTTTCCACAGCAACATCAAGTCTTTCAAAGATGAAACCAATTATCAAAAAAAGCATACCTGTGCCCTTAATTTTCTCATCTGAGATTCCTGAGCAGCTTGCTTTTTTGAAAGTTCTTCACCTGGAAAGTAATGGTAAAATTGAAAACTTGAAAGTCCCAGAAGGTTGTACATGAACACAAGTGTAAGAACACCCATACAAACAAATAGGTAAATAATCAGTTTCAAAAAGATCTAATGTAAATATTTAGCTCATATAAAAGTATTCCTTGAGTGACACAAACACAGTAGCAAACTACACAACCTTACTGTATCTACAGCCCCAACAACCACTACATCAAGCCAACTATTTACCCAACATGTTAACCAAGAGAACCTCAATATTTTAACCGATCAAAACAATCTATAGGGCTTGTATATCAAAAACTAAAATATCAACAAGTATCTGTACACCATGCCTAACAACCATATGTGATAAAACGAATTAGAAAGGGATTTACTACATTTGAAGATGCCAAATGTTATAATATTAAGTGGTTACAATCAGAGTGTTAACGATGTAATTAAAAAGTGTTGAGGCAACTTCAGAAATTTCACAGGTAGCTGATTTTCTATCTAGAAGTTCCAATTTTAGATTAAACACACAAAAAAATCAGGGAGCAGATTCAAAATTTTAAAAAGTTGTCCATATTATGCTTTTAGCCACCAACAATAAACAATTTGTTATTAAACAAGCTTTTTTCCATTTCCTTATTGACTTGATATATTGTTTGAGATAGGCAATCAAAGCATAAAATTAGGCATGTAACTAATCCACTACACCAAGTGTCCTAGATTTTAAGGGATGTATTCAAACTTTATTTAACTAAGTAAAACCTTTCTCAATCTACTCCACACATGCAAGGAATGAACCTATGGCAAAGTGAGAAATCTAGCAATATTCCTCCCTCAAGATGCTAACGTGCTATTCATATCTGTCATGGAATCTAAACTACTTGTACATTTCCTGTCAATATAAAGCAACCAATACTTCTTGTAAACAAGGAAAGCCTTCATGCCCAGAGAAACGTTAAAAGATCAAAAGCATTAAATCAAATTCAATCTTCTAAATAAGTTCACACCTTCGGCCATAACCTGAGTGATTATTTCGTCTTTTTCCTTCAAAAGAGCTGCAGCATCAATTTTCTTATTCTGCTCTCTACGTAGTGTGTCTCTTTCCTTAGTGAGAGCATAAACCTGAAAAAAAATGAATGTCAGTTGCTCAAATAGATATCAACTAGGTGAATATATAACCAAAAACAAAATCAGCATAGTACTTCAGGAAACTCAGAAGCATACACATGCAACATGGAAAGTTAAATAATCCATAAATCAACTAACATGACGTGCTAACATATGGACTAAAGATACATCATAGTAGTTTGTTTTCACAATAATCTTTTTATGAAACAACAAATAGGTGGAAAGATAAAAAGAAAAGGATGACTCTGTAAAATATGCAGTCACTAACATATGGACTAAAGATTCATCATAGTAGTTTGTTTTCACAATAATATTTTTATGAAACAATAAATAGGTGGAAAGATAAAAAGAAAAGGACGACTCAGTAAAATATGCAGTCACGTAAGGTAGGAAGTAGAGTTCGTGCAAAGAGACTTTATATCATCCAATTATTTGAAGATGCTAAAATCAACTAGTCAAATATGTGCAAGAAACTACATTTATGATCAGTTGACAATGAAGTCTATATTTATCCAGCAAAGCTAAAATGAAAGTTCAAGAATATCAGCAACAACGAAGAAACTAAGTGTGCACACGATGTATATGACTGCTCACCTCTATATCCGTAAACGAGAATAATTAAATGGTGAAGTATAAGAATAGATTTAACAAATTGAGGAGGGTTTCAAGGTTTAGCAAATCCATTGGAAAGTCAAGTAACTTGCAGATGAGACATTAAAAAATGCAAGCTACTCCTTTAATCAAGTAAACTAATGCAAGGAAGCAAAAAAAAGCACCTCAAATCTATCAAATATTCTTAGCAACATAACAATCCTAATTTTACTACAAGAAAATTTCCTAGAGTTCTTAAAAGCCATGCCATCTTCAACTTTCCTTGCATTGTCATAATGAAACTTGACCGAAGAAATAGAGACTGTAAATAATAAAAACTATATACCTTTCTTTCAAGTGTTGCCACCCTTTGATGATACTCCTCCCGGAGAGATTCAATTTCTGCTTCATTTGATTTTGTCTGAAAAAATGATTTCCTCCAGTTAAAAGAGATTAAATATCCTTATATCTGAATATATGTATCTGTACATAAATAATAGTTGATGTAAACAATTAAAATTGCACTCTAGATGAGCATAAAATTTCTCATGAAATGGAGAAAAGAATCTACATAATATGTTCCCAAATTAAGCCCCCGTTTGTCTACAATTATTTCAAAACTCTTTTTTTCTCAAACTCATTTTCAACAACACATTCTCAAAATAAAATATTTTACACATAAACCCAACAAGAATTTCCTAATTTTTACCCACACATTCTCCAAAAATTCACTATTCTAAAACTCATTTTCATTGAATAATAGTAGACAAACTGGGGGGCTAAGAGTCCACAGGAGTACAGTGATTATACCACAGCATTCAACTCAATTAATTTTCTTATTCTTTTCTTACATGATATGGCACAATGCACTTATTTTACTTCGTGCAAAGATACTTCAAAGTTCTCCATAATCCCACCATCTTTTTCTTTTTTAAATATAGTTGAGGACCTTTGTTCAGAGACAGTCAATGTTTTTTTCTCTTCTACTTACTCATTTATGCTTATATCATTAAGCATTCATACTTAATTGTATATTGAAATTTATGACCTAAAAAGGAGAAAAATGTTAATACTGAATTGGAGATTGACTGTAACTCTTTCCCATCTCTTGTCACAAAGCCATCAGGTATTAATTAAATAAATGTCCACTTTGTGTTTTCTAAACGAGTAAATCTGACTACGTACTTTGATAAATCTGTACAGTTTTGACACAGAATCTCATTCTGCAAGTAAGTATTGTTACTCAGTACTCGACCTTGTACAATATTATCAGCTGTTCTCCAGCCCAATTGACTACCCATTACATCCATGATCATGAAAGATCAGTAAAACACATTACCAAAGCCCTGATCTACACATGCAAAAATAAAAACATGTCCAGGAAAATTACAGTTCAGCTGAGAAAAAAAAATGTTCCAATAAGGATTGTGTCAATGTCTCTGCGTCCTAGGGGCCAGTCCATAATTATTAATCTGGACATTTAAATGACATCCTTCAATTGGCAGAAGAGAGGAGACACATTTCCCAGACGAAAGCATATACATTATTGGCATTGCTCCTGCTATCCATAATTCAATGCAACAATTTAAGACAAACAGTAGAAAATACCAAAGTTCAGTAATCACGATTCATGCATAGGCAACCATAGAATAGAAAGTGTTTCAGCCTAGACTAAGCATTGATAACTGAAGTATCCCCTGCTATTAAGTAAGCCACCTTGCAACACGTCACACAGAGAATCACTGCTGTTCATTTACAAAAGAATTGAGTGATTTGCATTCCTTAAGTTCTAACTCAGAACTTTGTTCTAAACAAACAATCTATGTATCTTATATTGACTGTTCTGCAAATATTTGAATGTGGCTACCACATATTATGGAGTAATCCTTTTCCAAGAAAACATATTAACATGACAAATAAAAATCAATTAAAAGATAGAGTAACTTACCCTCCTCAAATCTTCAATCAAGGCCTTTAGCTGCTCATTTTCATTCATCAACTTTGAAATTTCATCAGCTTTGGCCTAGGAGGAAAAAGAAAAAAGAAATCAGATTCTCTTTTCTTTGGTTGGAAATTTAAAGGGATTAAACCTTTAAGGTATATACAAACTAAAAAGGATGTGATTATTGCAAAGTATGGTGTCCCAACAAAATAAATTTAGATTTCAAGATTAATTGAATGTATCAACAGTCAATACAGATAAATTAGAAAGATCATTGGTGAGCGTGTTTTTCACAGGGAGGGTACAAGGCGGAAAGGTAAAATAATTAATCCATTACAATAAAAAATAAATGAAAGAGTTATCTTGGCACTGACTAATAAAATTAACTCATTACATCACGGTCATGCTATCATTAGTTTTTTTCATTTTTAGCAGTAATAATTCTTAGGGTCCGTTTGATTGGCAAATGTGGAAAGACTTTTCAATTCCATGTAAGTCGAAAAATAAAAACTCAAGTACCCCATAGGAATGCATTTTCCATGAAATTGGCAAAAAACAAGCTTAAAGTGGTTGTACCTTGAAATTCGAACTCCATTTCCACTTTCATATCAAACAGTAAAAGTAGAAATTAAATTCTTCGGATGTAACATTTTTCATGGAATTTAAACCAATCAAACGGACCCTCAGTATTTCAAGGTCGAGTAGTTTTGATAATGAAGAAAAGAAGGATATATATCTTGATTGGCACACAATACTGTGTCCACATTTGTAACCAAAAAATTCCATTTTTTAGTGTATTTTAGACTTTTAACACTGACTCATCCTACGTGATCATCAACAAAAATCAAGAACAAATAAGCAAGGAGCAAATAATTGATTGAATTCCAATCTCCAATTACAAGAGCATCTAGAGTCCTACTAGTGAAATCTCTTTTTTTCTAACAAGTCTCAACCAACAAAAATTCAAGCCAAAAAAAAAAAAATATATGTTTATACCGACCACGTCAACTGACATAAACCTACCACTGACAAATAAGGAACTTTTTTAGCTTTACGAAAATTTCAATAATTTGGTACCTACAAGGTGAATTGGAACCCAAACAATGTGTTACAATTTCATCAAGCAACCAATGAGGAAAGTCAGCAAAATCACCTAAAAGTCAAAACCTGGTTATCCAACTTAATATAACCTGGAAAATGTTCCAGGAACTCTTTTCTCGGGGCTTATAACACCATTTATGTGTTTCAAAAGTCTTCGTCAATGAGGATACACATGGTTAAACACAAAACTTTATTATGATAAGTACCTGAGCTTGTCTAGCAGCCCCTTGCAATGCAATTTCCATCATTTTCATATCCTTCTTTAACTTCTCCAATTCAGCTGCAGACTCTTCAACATCAGATGAGTTGCTTCCAGAACTCAAGCACTGCTGCTCTTTTACGTCATTTTCTATAGTTATTTGCTGCTCCACCTCAACAGATTTACTAACAGCATCATTTTCATGTACCTCCACTGAAGGCTTTGCATCTTCATGTTGCATGGCAGGCAAGCTGCTTTCAGAATAATCTTTGGGAATTCTCACCTCATCAGAAATGGGAGAATCTGAACCTGCTGGCTCTCCTTTCTCAGCTTGGTCATCAGTTAGTACATTCAAATCTTGGACTGTAGAAATCTCCTTCACATCTTCTTCTTGTGACTTATGCTCATCTGTGCTCTCCACCAAATCACTAACTTCATTAATTGCAGATGCAGCAGCAGTAACTTCAATCTGACTCATAGGACTTGCCGAATCTGGTTCAACCAACTCCAACGTTTTATGCAGTTCTTCTTCCAATATCTTCTCTTGAAAGTTCTTTACAGGTTCTGTTTGCTCAACGAGCTCAACATTTTGTTCAGATAATTTAACAGGCACTGGTTGTGAATCCGCATCACCTTCACTGATTTCTTCTGCAGCAGCATCTTTTTGCTTCCCACTGATGTCTTTCGATTCCTCTGCAGGTTCTGGCAGTACATCAACCTTTTTTGTTTCTTCATTAGGTTCATCCGCAGGAGGATTTTTATCAGTTGTAATATTAGCAGAACTATCATTGTCAATATCTTCTTTTTCCATGACAGAAGACAAAGGCTTTGAGACACTGGATTCTTCTTTCTTAGCAGGAGATGCAGGCTTTGAGGAACTAGATTCTTCTTCCTTAAAAGGAGATGCAGGCTTTGAGGAACTAGACTGTTCCAATGATTCAACAGTATTGTCCTCATCTTTATTCCCCATAAATCCCATGATCGGATCGAACGGTGATTTCCTGTCCGTAGCTGATGGCCACAATCCTGATGATAAGAAACCATTAATGTCTGGAAGTAGGCAATAATCCATAATCAACTTATTAAACCTTCTTGAAACAATTAATCCAAGTGAGAAACTTTAAAACCATTTATATGTACAAATTTGTGTTCTTGGAATAAAATTTTGTTACTCAGCTAGTTCATTATGCAATTAAGGAGGCTCATAACCTCAAAAGGGAGCACTTTAAGCCTTGAAGAATTTCTTTGGCAGAATTAGAATAAGGTGAACTATTTAAAACATCCTGAATATTATATGCACAAAATTTATTAACCACATAACATGTATAGCAGCAAATTTCGATGGTCAGATAATTTTCAAGTTTTAAAGTTATTGGATTTCTATTTCCATCACGCTTAAGAATCAGAAATAATATACACGAGAACGCTTATTACAATGTCTGAAAATTCACAAAAAATTCTAAAGATCACGAAGAATATAACATGTACCTTCAGCTGTACTACTGGTGGCGTCAGATTTCTCTTCATCTGGTTCGCGGCATAGTTTATTCTTCTCGATGTTCTTAACGCTCTCGCTGAGTTTATTCACAGCCCCAGCAAAATCAGGGAAATTCCCTAAAGAGACTTTCCCACTAAACCACGCCATATTTTCCAATCAATCAGCTCGATGCAGTACTTGAATATCACGTCACTCACATCTATCCAACCCTACAGAAAGATACATTCGGCAAAATCGATCAACATTCCCACATCATAAATAATCACGAATTCAGCTACATTAATAATAAAAATGAAATAAGACGCCATCAATAAATCCAATTACTATAGAAATCGAAATCGAGTATGCGTCGTCTAAACAATGAAATTAACAGTGTCGGAATTCGCGAAATTGTGAATAAAGATAATGTGATTCGTAAATGATTCCTGAAAACCGAACCTACGAATTTGTGAACCCGAATCGTAATCAGAAAGATCAAATCGGAGCTCGGATCTCAAATGAATGGGATGGTTAACAGAAGGTGAAAATTTTACAAGAATCGATTTGGAGAGGTCAGATTTATTTTTCACTCTGCCCAGCACCACCTGTAAACTTTTATTTGGGATAGGTGCGCGCCGTCTCATTTGTTGTTTATCACGACTCCTTTTCTTTTTTTCTTTTTTTTTTCTTTTTTTTTTCATACTCAATTTTTAACTTTATATTTGCACACAAAAATATTTTATACGTAAAATTAAAAATTTTCCTACTTTTTAATCACATGTTCTACAAAAATTCACTATTAAAAATATTGAAAATTTCAAATAATAACCATCAAACAAGGGCTCAATCGGACCATTATAAAAGAGAAATTGAAAAAAAATGGTATTTTAAATATTCATTTTTTGGAGAATTGATGGTTATAAAGTAGAATTTTTTTTTTATTTACGTACAAAATATTTTATTTTATGNGGTTATAAAGTAGAATTTTTTTTTTATTTACGTACAAAATATTTTATTTTATGAACGCATGATTGAAAATGAGTATAAAAAATAAAGCGTTTTTATTTAAAGAGAGTTGAACAGGGGCTAAACAAACCTATTTTTTGGGGAAATAGATTTCGTAGTAGTGAATTTTTTGGAGAATGTACGATTAAAAAAATAAGGAAAATTTTAGATTTACCTATAAAATTATTTTATTTAAAGGATATGTGATTCAAAATAAATTTGAAGAAAAATATATGGGATGCTTGAGCCATATTATTTTTTAAGAATATATTTTGAAATAATAGATTGATAAAAAATGTGTGGTCAAAAAGAACGAAAAGTTTTTGATTTTTGTATAATATTATTTGAATGAAAAATGTATGGTTGAAAAAAAGAGATAAAAATATATTTTGGAAAAAAATGGGAATCTCCCCGTACTTTTGAAAAATGGGACTCAAAGAATTGCCAATTGTTTGAGTACTCGAGTTTACTCTATGTGGTAAATTGAGAGAGAATAAAGAATAATTCGATTGTTATTCTACCTACGAGGATATTATAAGCAGATTATAATTTTAGTTGAAATTCTAAGTAAGAGTAATTGTTATAATAAATATACACTTTATTACCTTTTTTTATTTTTTTATTTTATAACACGTTATCAACATGAGTTCTAGTCAACTGATTTAGAAAAAAAGATTATCTTCAAAAGAAATTTTGAGAATTGGTTATTGTAATTTTGTTTAGGTTATTTTTGATAATATAAAAAAAATTATTAATAAGAAATTTAAGACATGTATTATGTCGTTGTTGCTGAAGAAAAATGACTTTATATTCATTCGATTCCAAGAGAATATCGCATCGTTGCTTTGTAGAGCACAACATTAAATATTGATATTTATCAAAATATAATGTAGCTCGAAAAGAACACAAGTTTTGAATTTAACTATTCTAGAAGAACTAGTCTTTCTCCCGTGCGATGC